AAGGGAGTTTCCCTCCGTCTGAAAGGCCGTGTATACAAGGCCACAGTGAGAGCCGTTCTGCTCTATGGTAGTGAAACTTGGCCCCTTCGGTCTGAAGATCTGAGGCGCCTTCAAGTCTTTGAGCATCGTTGTTTGCGAAGCATTGCTGGTGTCGGATGGCACTAGCGTATCCCCAACGATGATGTGCGTAGGCGAGTACTAGGTAGTGATAATCATGCTAGCTCCCTAGAACAACAGATAGCACTGAATAAGTTGCGTTGGCTCGGGTACGTGTTACCCATGCCTGGTCCCCGCTTACCTAGGAGGGCCTTATTCAGTCTCCCTGGTGTAGGATGGCGCAAGGCTCGAGGTGGACAGAAGTTGACTTGACAGCGAGAAATGAAGTCACTGACAACCAAACTGGGTGCCGTTGGTCCGTCTTGCCTTCCGGGTTGGAGTCCACGTGACTCACCTTGTGCTTGGCTCGAGACTTTGCAGGACATGGCTCGCAACCGACACCAGTGGCGCGTCTGCTGCCGTCTTCTAATCGGATTGTCTGTTTAAAGTAAGTTTGGTGCTAAGCTATCTGCGAGATAATGGCTGATTATGACGCGTGGCAGTGAAAGCCGCAAGGAAGCTGTCTCGCCGATGCCGCCTTATCTTTGCACGATAGCCAACTGTTTTTGACGGTATGTTGTTAACACAAGGTGTAGGCGCCTTGACCCAGAATGTTTGCTTAGGGCATTAAGGTTTTCTGGTAAGTCCCCCTTTCTCTCCCTCTTCTTATTATTTATTTCATAAGTCCTCATGATTGTATGGCTGCGAAGCATCAGTTCAAATGGCTGATGTACTGCTGTTGATGATGATGATGAAACACGTAGTTATCAGAACGTTGTACGCACATAGTTCCGGGAGAGTGAAGGTTCATGACAAACTGTCGCCGCCCCTCGAAACCAGCGGTGTAAGATAAGGTTTCTAGCTGTCACTTGCCCTTTTTAACTTCGCCATTGACGAATTCATGAAAACAGCGTTCGCTGGACTCGAACTACAAGTCGTGGAGCTGTCCCCGGGTGACCGACTTCTCTACTTGTTATAGGCCGACGATATTGCCCTAATAAGTGACCGCTTCCAAACGTGCCATGCTGCACTGGACCGATTAGCACTGTCTATCACTCGTTTCGGGCTATGCTTTCCACCTGCCCTTTCGCTGACCCTTGATGGGGATCAGCTTGAAGTCGTTCAGGAATTCAAGAACTTGAGTAACTATATTAGCACCCGTATAACGAAAGCTCGAGACGCTTTTGCTAATCTGCACCAGCCGTGGCGTCGATGCGGCATCACTCGCCCTGAAGGGCAGAATTTACGATACTGCCGTCCTTTCAATTCTCTTGTACGGTTGCGAAACCTGGCTTATCAGGTTGGCAGACTTAAAGAGGCTGACTAAATTCGATCATCGCTGCCTTCTTAGCTTAACACATCCAGTAGGATTATCTCGTGGACAATGAGCGTGTTCGGCATTGTGTATTTTGTTTAGGAAGAGCGAGTGAACCGCTTGGCAACGTTACTTCACGCACCAGGCCCCGGTTGCTGGGCCACGTGTTGCGCATGCCAGCACCGACTCCCGCGACGTGCATTGTTTGTGCGCCTGTGGTGTGGATAGAAGAAGATGGAGTGGTCATGCGATGACTTGGTCTAGAAGAATGAAATCTCAATTCGGAGTTGGTATCTCCCGACTGTCTGGCTGGGGTCCGATGAGTGATGAACACGTCTGGCTGGACTTGTGGACATGGCATTTTGTGTTGTAGGTTTCTTTGTTTTATTCCTCTTCCTTTGCCTCCCCCTCCAACTACAATCTCATATCCAATGGATATTCCCTTGGGATTCGTCAGTCTTACGGTTGACGCCCGTAAGACAGTCAATGCGTCCTCCGCATTAGAGTAGGTAATCGTCCAATAGATATGTTGATAGAGATGAAACCCCTGATGTCACTCCATAGGTTTATCTAGGTGTGATTCACTTGAATTAAACTTTTTGCTCTGGCGATACTTAGAATCCTGCTTGTATAGGATTCTTTACGTGGTTTGTTCGCCGTTCATTAGGCCTACATGTTTGTTAAGTTACCATCGGATTTCGTGCGGCCGCACTTGTAAAACCGTGTTCAGGCTTATCTAGCACGGCTTTTCCGAGATAGAATGGAACTGCAAAAATATATGCAATTGGATACGTAGATGGCACAGGGTTTGTGATGACTGGCCTCTCCCGAATCTTTGGTTGTTTCTGAGATGTGTACACTGCACTAACGGAGGGTTCTAGGTGCTGTCCTATCTATCTTGACAGGAAAAACAGACCGAATTTGGCGCGGCAGCTTGATTCCGCTACACTGCCTAATCTTTGCGTCACCCTGCGGAGCTGCAGTAACCATGCTCTAGCCTGATTAGGATGGAAACTCCTTTGTCGTACTGACTTATTGAGCTCTGGAGTTAGCTTCCAGGTCAGGTGGCTACAGAATCGACGGTCGATACTCTTGGGTGATAATGCTTCACTTCCTTTTATCCCAATAAACCCGTACGTTCAGCTTACAATTGTCCTTTTTAATTTCTCTCGTGATTTGGTACTATCGTACAATTTGATGCCTGCTTTATTTTAAGTGTTACTAAATTGTTATGTTCATATTTCCAACTGAACTTTTCACAGCGCTGTTGGGCAGTGTTCCGCTTTTTGCCAAACGTCTAGTCGTGTGTCTGTTTCACACTTGATCCCATAACGGAACACAATGTATAGTGTTTCCCTCCCGAAAACACTACTTCACGGCCGTTTTCGGGCTTCTTTGTTCTCATTACGTAAAAATAGTAGACACGAACCTGGAGCCTTGGGGATGTCAGCAGAAACCACTTCTCCTAGGCCACCGCTTCGCGGCGAGTAACCCTTATCACAACAGTTCGTCACTGGTTAGGTCCTCTTGAAGAGCATTATTTGCTGCGGGCGCTTCGCACCGAAGCGAACTTTGATCTACTCGATCACTGAGACCGTAACTGAAGAAAATAGACATTGGGTATCAATGGCCCGAAAACATCCAATATTCATTTCCTTCATTTACGGTTCCAGCGTCCGATTCGACCAAGATTCACTTTAATGCAGATCGTGCTCCACATTGATGGTGCGCCACAATCCATTCACACAATGAGTGCTACAGAATGACCCGTCCAATCAGAAAGACATTTGGATGTTGCTGTATCTCCACTGCTTAAGCTGAAGGGATTGATTTCACGATACAATTTCGACAGGTGATTATAAACAGACGGCGGATTTGCAATCTGTTCGCTCTTAGAACCGTTGTTTGCTGTTTTCCCTGTCAAGCTTGAACATGGATTTCCCTGACTCACTCGACTCCTACCGGTTCTACATGGATGATACCACCATGATTCAAACACTTGCTATTCTTCTAGATCACTTCAGTAGATCACACACCTCTTTGAGGTTTAAAAGTGAAATTGAAAACGAAGGAAAGCTAGGTTTTTTTACCTTATGCATACAGAAGGATATCTGAAGCGAGCCATATGGCTCGCTCCAGAGAAGCATCAATCAAAAGCTGCATGCATAGACCGATACACGACTTTCGTAACTTTATACCTTTGGAGTACAGCGGAAACTTAGTTCGCAGCCTGTATTGTCGTGCCAACACAGTTTGTGGATCAGAAGCGTTGAAAATCGGAGAGGACTGCATCGTCTGGACATCACGAGATAATCGTTGCCTCGCTCCTTTCATTCGGAGGCACTCCGTGATCTGTGACCGACGAGAGATGATCGTAACGGTGCAGGGAGAGGATATCCATCTTGCTATCTATTTCAAAGGAGATGTACGCTTCAAAATAATAAGCAAGAGATTCTCAAGTGCATTAGCCCGATCGTTCACAACTGCCTACCCGCATGTTGTTGCCGGTACCGCCTTGTTTATTACCTAGCGTCTCCCTGTCCAGTCCGGATCCTTTATCCTATATCATTTTACTTGCGCCTGTGGAATGAGATACATCCTGCACACGACCATCTACTTTGCGAAACGGATAGCAGCATGGTAGCAAGCATCAACAGTTCCTCCTTGTACTTTCTTAGTTCACTATTTACTCTTACTTCACTCAATTGGCCCAACTGGGACTGCTTGTGCAAGATACAGGAGCAGTAATTGGTTGGCCAGGGTGTGATGCGTTCTTTTAAATTCATAATGATTTAACTCACTCTCAGCTTTTGGCTCGGTGGTCCGCTGAAGTAGGAACATTCACAAGATTATCATATCCTTCTGGTCCCATTTGAACTTGATAAAGCCTGATTATCCGGTCATGTGTAGCAGGTCCGTTGGAGCTCCTGTAACAAATCAAGGAATAGGGGTTCGATGGAGCTCACTTGGATGATCATTATTATTTCATCTTGTCTTCCTGCTCCCTACCTAGAACTATCTGACATACTATCCACTGTATGCTGTCTAAAGCCACAACTGAAGACCTTCCTTATCCACTCATCCACGCTCGATCTTTTCTCGTTGGTTGTGGAAATGACATCCAACCGTCTGCAAAGTTCTTCTGCATTCACTCTTCGCAATTCTATCGATACATATTTTACACATCGAACTCGAAGTCCTGAACCGGACGCATCACACACAAACGTGTTTTTGTATGACACTTAGATGGCTGGTGCCTTTTCTTCTTGTTCTCTTTACCCTTATTTCGTACCTGCTGCAACTTGCCTTATTGTTTCTGTGCTTGTTTTCACTATCCATTCCTATTCGCCGTTATCTTTTCTAAGTGGTTGTGACAGACATTCAATTACCTACTTGTTATTATGCAACCATCTATACACCCAATTTACTATCATAATAATGGTTGTAACAGCAGCGTTTAACCATCATGAGGCATGTTTTGCATTTTAGCCTCACTTAGCTGTTCCCACATACTTTGGTCATTGGACGCAGGAGAACGCGTAATCCCCGTCCAGACCCTTACTACATTGAACACTTATCTCCTTCATACATGAGTCTCCCACGGAGAAATGGAAAAGAAGCAAGTAACCTTCATAGCAACCGTAGTATCCCGTTTCGTTTAACTATGCGCTTTTAGGTCTCCAGATTGCTTCTACTGACAATATGACAAAATGTCACGCGTTGCCTAAACGTTTGCAAGTCAATAGGAACAACACTACCTTGGGAGTCGTTAGTTCGAAGCAGTTGGACCATGTACGGACATTCATTGCACAGCCAAGTCAGAATGACTCGTTGACATCGGCTAGTGCTCTCGATGACGGGAAAAACACTGCTTCAACACTGGAGGTTGTTATGCGTTTTGCTTTTCAACTACTTTTTCCAGCCCCGAGAATACCATCTTTCACAAGAAGACGAAAAGATCATCAACGCAGTCATGCTGAAGGTTGCCGAGCTCAATGTTGACAAGCTTCCGGACTCTTCGCTTGTCAAGGTTTTGACGTCTATCTACCTTGACGCAAGGTCTAGATTGGAAAACAAAAGTAAATAACCATCACCGACTCACAGTTTATAGAAACATCGATGTCTACTGGTTCTTGTGACAAATATTTATCAACTTCAGGTGGTGGGAACAATTTTTCATTTGAACAAGAACAATTGAGCGATGAATTAAATAGACCGCAAGATAATCTTGCACCTTTATCTGTCTTAGAGAGAAAACGGATCCAATGGGAAGCGGAGAAGGGTGAGTATTTCACTTATTTTCATATTACCTGTAACTTAAGTTACGTGCGATTAGGGTTCTTCCATGCTACAGCGCATGTGTTTTTCGTACAAAAGTCGTCAATTGACTTCTGTACTGACCCTCATCACCATTCGTTGCCAGCTTTTTGCACTTAACTTAGTTTAGGCCCCTTATATTTAGCCGAAGTTCGGTTCAGTTTGTCAACTTTGATTCGCACACTAAAGTACGCTAGATCCAGCTGCCTTGACACGCCACAAAAATAAACATACTCCAAGAAGAAAGGATAAGTGAGTCCTCAGACACGATAGTCACTGATCCGAAGTGAATAAGGAACCTAAGAGCAACCTTGACCCCATGCTCGCGCCGTGGCTGGTAGCGTGCCCAATCACTGATTTGAGCTACCTGGAGGACCCACTCCTGGACTCGGTTCAGCCTTTCGGTGAATTTCTTTATGCTATTTTATTACATCATTGACTGGTCGCCTCGAGATTTCATCTAGCTAGAAGTACTATTATCATAACGTGTACCGGGGCAGTCGGCTTCCACGCATGCGGAGGACCTGACCTAGCCACCTAAGGCGATTCGAGTTCAACGGAGGCACTCCAATATGACGCTTGCTGGAGCGTCTAACAAACACCAAGTGACAAACTTCTATATTATTCACTTGGTCCACCCACATGCGCAATACTTCACGGGCATCGGTGGTCAAACCAGATCAGCCTGTCAGCTCCCCTATTTCACAGTTTCCTTTTCTCTGTTTCATACAATGGCACTATCTTTACCGCGGTATTGTAATCCCTTACCATAACCAACATGCTTACTTCCAACTGTCTCCATAACCGACCAAGACTTTAATGAGCCGACATGCCTTAACACTGCATTCAGTGTCCTCTTCGATGATCTGACCTTCCGAAGTGATACAGCTGCGACGTGGCGAATGTGATTTGCCCCTAAATAAACATCACCGGGCAGCGCGGAGCGCTACATTGTATTTTAACACCCTCTCGGGGATGATTGGCCCCTGTTTGGTTACCGACCGAATGAAAGTCGTATGAACTGAGCAATCAGTCACCGGCTCCCAATGGGCGCAATTCCCTGAATTTGTTTCGCTGCCTTGCGCGCTGGCTATTTAGCCAAAGGATTGGGGTAGGGTCCCCTAAGTCAACTCCCTACTTCGGGTAGTATATCGCCCTCTCACATAACCATGGACTCTTCTACAACCTGCTCATTTGCTACTGTCTGCTCCTTACATTCACGCGATTTCATCACACGCAATTGTTTGTTTGCCAGAAATCCTTATTATCCGCTATCTGATTCCTGTGTCCGTTAATCTGGCTGCGATTCCGGTTGCGCTGCAAACCATTGAGTCCAACCTATGGCTTTCCTTCAACCCCGATCCTCCTTCCATCTAGCGTACGAATTGGACAGCAAGCCAGAGTCCCTCGATCTTCACGTCTGCTGTCTTTCAGAAACCCGATTGCAGTGTGCCCTTAGTCTAAAGGTAACGAGCTTGTCTTATAATCTGACGGCACCGGTTCGAACCTGTGTAGGGGCAAGATGACCCTTGCAGTATCCTTAGCCCACCTGCCACCAGTGATGGTTGCGCGGCAGCGAAGCGTCGGTGCTGCGTACCGGCGTACTGCTGATGCACTGTGCCTACACTGGCATCCCCCGCTAACCACGAAGCCAGAAATCACCTGCGTCTTTCTGGAGATCCAGAAGCAGCCTCAGCAGCTTTGCCTGATGTAGCTGTAGCACTAAGTGGCAAGGCCGAGGCGGCACTACTGGATTGGTTCCCGATTAAAAACCGACTGTGTGTAGCTGGGTTTCCGGGTCCATGTAGAATCAACAAGCGCCGCAAGTCGAGACTCAACTTATTTATGATCTCCGCGTACGCTCCAAATGACTTCAGTATTGGCTCGTTCAAGGACGACTTTTATCGGCAGCTTCATCAGCTCTTGATTAGCGCGAAAGAATCTGTTCTCCTTGTCCTTGCTGGGGATTTCAATGCGAGGTTTGGCCGCCTGTTACCATACGAATGTCAGCTTAGTGGTCGTCACGCGTCACAGAAATAGCAACTGGTCTCCACTGTCCATCAGTGCATGCAGTCCGCCTTGTTAGGTACCGTGACTCGTCCCACTAGGTCCACGCAGCGAAGCGGAAGTCTGCCTCGAGATTCGCCGCTTGAAGCGATTCAACTTTACCGACTGATGGACTTCCTCCGGAGCTATTCAAGTACGGCGGTGTGGCGATCATTAACCAGCTGACCGCGCTGTTCGCAAAAATCTGGCATGAAGAGAAAGTGCCTTCCTCTTGGGGCGAATCGGTTATTGTCCCGGTTTTCAAGAAAGGCACTCGCGCTTCATGTGCAAATCATCACGGGATTAGTCTTATTTCGGTTGCTTGTAAGCTATTGGCATCCATTCTGCTTCGTTGACTATTCCTAGTACTTAAATCATACTATCGTGAAGAACAAACTGATTTCCGTTTGGACCGTGGGTGCATGGATCAAATCTTTGCGCTCCCCCAACTCGAACCTAACCACATTGACCACAGGTTCACCATCATCACATTCCCAGATATACGGGATGCATTTGACTCCGTTGATCGACCTGTTTTATGGCATTGCTTGCCAAAGAACAGGGTGCCAGAGCAATATACCGCCATCTTACGTGCACTTTACCTCCATACCTCCGGCAGAGTGAGTGTCTACGGCAAACTTTCCTCTGCTTTCGCTGTCAATAGTGGTGTGCGACAGGGCTGCCCTATGTCCTTATTTCTCTTTAACTTCGCAGTCTAGGACGTCCTGTATTGAGCTCTGGGTTTCCAAATGTTTGGCCTAGAGCTTCTGCCTTGCGAGCGCACGGCCGACTTAAATTATGCTGATGATATCGCCTTACTTGGTGACGATCCACGGGGTATGCAACTCCTTCTGAATCATTTGCCAGTTGAAGCACTTAAGTATTGCATGCATTTCGCCCCATGGGAGTGTAAGGTGTTGCTCCAGGATTGGCCCACCCCTGCTCTCGTGCTCACCCTTTAAGGTGCACAACTTGAACAGGTAGATAGTTTCGTCTACCTGTGTTTCTTCTAGCGGCACTATCAGCAAGAACGTTTTTCTTCGCTTCGCTAAAACCCGATCAGCATTTGTCAACCTGAGACACTTATGGCGTCGTTGTGACTTCTCACTCTCGATAAAGGGCCGTATTTACAGTGCTTCTGTTCGTTCTGTATTGTTTTATGGGAGCTAGTCCTGGCCAATTTGCGTGGAGGACATGCGCCGTCTTTCTGTTTTCGAGAATGGTTGTTTGAGAATGATCGCTCGTATGTGGTGGCAATATCGAATTCACAGTGATGACGTACGACGTCGCGTTTTTGGGAATGCGAGTATTCCCTTTAACTAGCTGGTTTTGCTACTCCAGTTGAGATGGCTTGGTCACGTCCTTCGCATGACGCCTGAACGTTTACCGCGCCGCGCTCTATTTACTCGCTAAGGACCGAGCTGGAGGCGACGGCGTGGTGGTCAGCTTTTCACTTGGCAACGGCACATGAACTCGCTGATGTTGCGTCTGGCCGCCGTTGGACCCGTGTTTCTTTCAGAATGAGGAGTGCCAATGGCTTAACACGTTTAAGAAGATGGACCGCAACCGGAAACAGTGGATGTATTGTATACAGAATTCTATTGATTCACAAGTTTACTACTTCAAACATTTAAAGTGGTAAAAATTAAATACTCGGCGTGTGAAGGACAAACTAAAAATGTTTAAACACCTTGGAAAATACTTGAAACCGATCGAGAACTCATGACTTCAGAGAGGTTTGAAAACAACCTGACTCTTGTAGCTCACCGAAATTTTGGTGGCGCTACGTGGATGACACTTTTGTTATCATAAAACGGGTTGAGAAAGACGAGTTTCTAAACTGTTTGAACACTCTAGCAGAGACTATAAATTTCACTATGTGATTGGAATCTGTCAGTGGAACATTGCCATTTCTTGACTGCTTGGTTCACAGGATTGGGATTAGTCTAAAGACAACGATATATCGTAAGCCGACGGACGCAGATGGTGTACTCCACTAGTTCAGGTCACCCAAAGCATGTGTATGCTGGAATCGCCTCATCTCTTTTTCACAGAGCCCACGCCCTGTGTATAGTGAAAGAAGATAGGAAGGCAACCCGCAAAGGAGCAATGAACCAATTGCTTGGTAGTGGATACCCGAGGCGGTTAGTGAAACGCCAGTTGCAGCGAATTTTAAATCCTCACCCACGGCGTACTACGGAGTGGATTGGGACGGTAGGTATTCCTTATAAAGATGGAACTTCGGAGGCCATCCGGAGGGTCTTAAATAAAGAAAACAGAAATAAATTTTCCAGAAAGGCCAAACGCTCCGCTCTACCCTAGTGCACTTGAAAGACCCACTTCCCGCAAATCGGACAACCAATTGCGTCTACAAAATTAGTTGCAAAGACTACGCACACGTGTACATCGGCCAAAGCGAGAGAGCTCCGCATAAGAATAGCAGAACACAAGGGACGCATACCACGGCCACCGAGAACCGCCCTTGCATATGTGGCTCTACTAAAGAGTTCGGCAGTAGCGATGCACGCGATAGATACAGGGCATGCAATCAACTTGGATAACGTCAAAATTGTTATAAAGGGGTTGCGATCAACTCCCCAGGGGTTGACTGCTGAGGCGGTTGAGATTAGCAAAGTGAACAGCTGCGGGAACAGAATTGATGGGGCAGAGCTTTCGAGCGTGTGGTGAGC